TGGAAAAGTGGAGAAATTATAGAAGAATTTGGGCGTTTTGGAGTGAAATGAACCAACAACCTACCCAATTACATGGCATGAGGGGGGGCCTATTTTGACTTTTGAAAAATAATGATGTAAAGACATGGGCTCTTTCTTTGAAAAATATTAGTGATTGCCAGGCATTATTACTGTTAATCTTAAAATTAATGATGCAGTATAACCTTAATTAACACTATAAAAACAGCTGTATAACTAACTCTATCTCCTCTCTCTTCTTTTACTTTCTTAGTTGGTTTAGGCTGTCCATTACCCCACTCTCTTAATTACAAATACATCAACTAATAGCCCTCTTAATCTGTATTTTTTTACCATTTCTAGCATGTTTTTAGTGCAATTGTTGCATTGACAATCATATGCTAAAAAGGAAATTATTAAAATGTTAGATTGATTTGGTTAATCACGCTTTTTTTTATTACCATGACAAGAAATATAAAATGATTTATGACGATTATTAATTTTTCTAGACACTTAAGTTGATTTTATTTTTATTTCCTTTTTGTTATGTGAATTTGATGTTTATAAGTTGACTTTAGTATTATCTTGAATTATTTTTTTATTTTTTTATAAAGGTTGCTAATTTGTGGCTGTTGGTTTTACCAAATTTTTACTTCCATAATTATGACTAGTGTATTACTCCACTTACAAGTAGTATTGATTTTAATTGTTTAAAAGTTTTTGGAAGCCAACAAATGTTGCAGAGAGTACGTTAAAAAAGACAAAGAGTACTAACTGACAAAGACGAAATCATTTATGACTTTTGAACTAGGACGAAACATAGCTAACACATTATTTACTTTATCTTAATTAATTCTTATTGGTACAATTACAACTTTAATTATAATTGTTACTTCATACCACCATATTTTCCTTGGAAGATCGAACGCCATTAAAAGATCTACTCTTTCCGTCTAGTATTACTTATCCACGTTATCATAGTGTAAATAGGAGTATGTGTTTTAAATAATTTGTTCTTTTTGAAAATATTAGTATTATAAAATTTCAATGTTAATCTTGATAGTGCTAGAACAAATACATAAATAGAGTGTATTCAAAAAAGTTAAAAGGATAAATTAATTAAAATATTTTTCTTATTTATGAATTCTTAAAATGAGTGTAAAGAAGAAAATGGACAAGTAAATGGACAAGTCGTATAAGGTATATGAAACTACATTAACAACTTATTTTTCATCCCGCTACCAAACGACTCATTTAGTACAATTTGCTTATTAACTTTGAGAGATGTAATTATTGGGGAATTCCAAGAGACCCTAATGACAACTTTGGAAGCTACTCTTTTGCTTTGCCTCTATTAAACTCTAAAAAGTAAATAGACACTTAAAAATCAATCAAAACCCCCTCTTTAACCAGCACTATTCAGTTTCCTCTATACTAAAGTGAAATCCTCTCTATATCTACTATCTATGCCTATTCCCTGTTTCATGGAGTATTTATCTACAAATAGTTCACAATAAATTTAAATTTTATACTGCCTATGTCCCTAATTACTTGTCCATTTTTTAATTGACACACCTATTAAGAAAACACTAATTGATATAGTGAGTTTACCATTTTACCCCTATTAATTATAAAGTGGATGAATTAAAAACTTAACATTTTCAAGAAGTTCTCCATTTTTCAATGTAATAAATTGAGGGTATAATAAAGAATTTTTTTTGTCCTTTCTTGATTTGTCAAAATAGACAAATAATTAGGGATAACTAAAAAAAAAATGGACAAGTAATTAGGGACAGAGAGAGTATATCATTAATAGATAAGAATATGACACATGCTATAATAAGTAATTAAATTACTCATTGGTTTGTAGTATAGTGGTAGAACTGTCTCACCTTTAATTAAAAGTTTCAAGTTTGAGCCTGCGGCTACAGTACCAAGATCAAGATTTAGTCCGGACCCGTTTGGAGGAGAATTAAAAAAAAGTCAATTAAAATTTATTTGCAGGATGTATATTACATTGTTACTCCTTATACTCGTATGGAATATACGGTTCAGAAATTAAAGCAACTGTAAAGTATTTTTCATGAGAATATAGTACTGAAGTATTTCTAATTTTGTCAAAAATTACCGTTCTCATAAAAAGGACATATCTTTACTGTTGAACGGTTCAATATGGTTAAAGAAGTAACATATACTATTTTGAACATAAAAACAGATATGTATATACATAAAAACATATTGAGCTTTATTGGCATAATAACACGATTGTATGGATATAATACGAGTTTGATATTTGGACGTATTTGAAGATGAGACATAGCAATAATAGTCTAATCGGATTTAGTTCAGTAAAAATGATACTAGATACAACACTTGATCTTCTTACATGTGATTTAATGTATTAAAAATAAATGCATAATTTTTCAAAATTATTTATTTACAAAAATGCTCTCTATAAACTTGGATTACATTAAATATATATCCGCATACGTATCTTTGAACTTCAAATACAAATTTATATAATTGTTATTTTGAATCACTAATTTTAAAATAAATAATGATGTACATTTTCAATGCTCTCATCAATATAAACAAGTTCTAATTTATTTTTTGTCTTCTTCAGAAGATAATTAGAGTACGTAACTAATCATAATTAAAGGTTTATTATTAACCATTGTAAAAAAGAAGCAATACAACTTGAAGTTTTGGACTTCTAAAAGACACAGATCTAGGAAATTAAATAGTACGGAGTAATATTAAGGATCTGTTGGATATAAAAAAAAATTAACAAAATAAAAGAAAATCAAAATAGCGTTCGATTATACAATTGAACTGAATTTTTTGAAAAATAAATTTAAAGATGAGCTTCAAGTTCTTTTATTAGTAAAATTTCTACTTTGTCAAGTTAAACGCATATTTATTCACAATTTTAACTTTCAAATACTCTTGTCTTAAACATTATTTTTTTAATATCATATTTTTTTACTGTCCAACACTAACTAATATATTTTTCACCTACAATAAATAAATATAATTTCGTTAAACATTATGTGAATAAGCATCAACTTTATTTTTGAGATTACATATATAGCTTTTAACGGAGAATCAGCCGTAGATAACTCATATTATCACGAATTTAAGTAATATACACTATTAAATTAATTTGACTTATTATAGCAAATAATCCAATCCATTTTCAACACTTCAAAAAGATTTATATATAAATAGCTTTTTAGATAATCTGATGACAATTTTTTTTTATATACACAATTCTAGTAAATGAAACTGAAACTTAACTATCTTTTAAATGATCTAACAATATATAAGAAATTAGACTATCGACTTATATAACTTAAACTCTTCTCAAAATTTTATTGCGTAAAATTATCTTCATCTCAATTATCGATCATGAGTTCGAGCCATACACGTCGGAGTGTACGTATATCCATATGGAGTCACCGGAGCTCTGGAATTTTAGGGCTAACTCATGCTTTGATTTTGATTATTAGAGAAATGAAATGGGTATTTGGGAATGCATTTTGAGCTCTTAGGGGTCGTTTGGTTACTGGTTAGAGTTATGCAGGTATTAGTTATGTAGGGTTTAGTTATGCAGGTATTAGTTATGCAGAGTTTAATTATGCATGTATTAGTTATGCAGGTATTAGTTATGCAAGGTTTAGTTATGCAGGATTTAGTTATGCATATATTATTTAATTATGTAGAGATCACAATGCATAAATTATTAACTAATAAATATTGAATTTGTTGTAAATTAATATATATTACTTACAAATAAATAAGTAAGCAAATAGTATAAATTCTCCCTCTATACTTAATTGGGACTGCTATTTTTTTATGTTTATAACTTATAAAAAAAAACTACGATTAATATATATTTTTTTATGTTTATAACTTATAAAAATAAAATACGATTAATATATTTCAAGTACATTATAATATCCTATTTTATATAATGTAAATATTCTATCAATATGTTGTATATATTGTTTATACAGTTTTAATATACCAAATAAATGAATTATGTATAAATTCACATCCTAAACAAAATAATAATACATGTTAATTAAAGAAGTGGAATATATTTAATAATATATAGCGTTATATACAATTCAATTTGTAATATTAATAAAATATTACATTTGGATTTCAAATGAAAACAGAAAAAAAAAAAGTTGTTCGTGTATTAAAAAAAAGTTAGGAAAATAGCATAGTTGGATAACATTTTCAATGAAAATAATTAAAAATAAATCAATAAGGGTAAATGTGTAAGTTACTATTTTTAATACATGTATAACTAATACCTGCATAACTTATTCCACCTTCTACCCTGCATAACTTATACATAGATTTCCTCATAAGTTATGTTGGTATTAATTATGTAGGACTACAAAAAACACAACCAAAACACCGTATAAAATTTACATGAATAACTTTTATACAACATTTAGAATTCTACCAACCAAACATGGTATAAGTTATGTTTACTTTTCCACCTAATACAAATTTTTTACCAAACATGAAAAAAATAATGCAACTTTTTATATATGAATAAAATACAACTTATACAGTAACCAAACGGCCCCTAAATACATACAAGTATACTCGCCGGGCCTTGTGCTAATTTTTTTTACCATTGGAATACCAAGAAAGTATAAAGAAAAAACTCAAAGCCACCAAACAAAAATGATCGAAATCTTGTCTTTACATAAATATAAATATTAGTCACTACACATATATTAAAAAAAGGACAAGCGTGACATCCACTCTGATAAAATCTCTTTCTTTTTCTTCCTACTCCTCTCCCTTTATCTTTCTGTTTTTGAGAACCGAGTCCCCTCTGTGTACTACTAGAGCTTTTTCCCTTCACACAATCAGACAAAAAAGAGAGAGATAAGAAAGGAAGAAAATGGTGAAAATGCTCTGTTTTCTTCTTCTCTGTGTTGTATAATGAGTAAAAAACAGAGATTATTAGAAAGAAAAAAATGGCAATAGCGAACAATGATCAATCTTTTCTTTTAGATGTTCTTTACTGTGAAGAAGAAGAAGAAAAATGGGGTGATTTGTTAGAGGATGAAGAAGGGGTTATTATTAACCCATTGTTGTTGTCTTCTGAAGGAACAACAAAAACTAATTCTTTATTATTATTACCTCTGCTTCTGTTGGAACAAGATTTGTTTTGGGAAGATGAAGAGCTTCTTTCACTTTTCATTAAAGAAAAAGAAACCCATTGTTGTTTTGACAGTTTTGGGAGTGACCCTTTTCTCTGTTCAGCTCGTGTTGATGTTGTTGAATGGATTCTGAAAGTGAATGCTCATTATGATTTCTCTGCATTGACTGCCATTTTAGCCATTAATTACCTTGACAGGTTTCTTTCTAGCCTTCAGTTTCAGAAAGATAAGCCATGGATGACTCAACTTGCTGCTGTTACTTGTCTTTCTTTAGCTGCTAAAGTTGAAGAAACTCAAGTTCCCCTTCTTCTTGACTTCCAAGTACCAATTTTTCTCTCTTGTTTCTTGATTTCCCAATTTCTTGAGAGATTTATGATTGATTATTTGATTATTATTTTTAAGGTGGAGGATGCAAAATATGTGTTTGAGGCAAAGACTATACAAAGAATGGAGCTTCTGGTGCTGTCATCACTGAAATGGAGGATGAATCCAGTGACCCCACTTTCATTTCTTGATCATATTATAAGGAGGCTTGGGCTAAAGAACAATGCTCACTGGGAATTTCTCAGAAGATGTGAAAGTCTTCTTCTATTTGTCATGACTGGTAATTACATCAGTTTCTTTTTGTTATGGAATCTTGTTTTTTTGACTAAAGATTAGATTTTTCGATGATAACAAGAAAAAAACAAAGTAACCCCTTTTGATTTTATTTTTGTCCTAATAATACAGATTGTAGATTCGTACGTTATATGCCTTCTGTATTGGCTACTGCAATTATGCTTCATGTTATTCATCAAGTTGAACCTTGTAATGCTGTTGACTACCAAAATCAACTTCTTGGTGTTCTCAAAATTAGCAAGGTTAGTTCAAATTAATTGTCTTTGCCCTTTCCTTCATATAAAAACAGCCATTGAATGTTTACTGTTTTTGTGTAAACAGGAGAATGTGAATAATTGCTATGAACTCATATCTGAAGTGCCTATTATATCACACAAACGCAAATATGATGAAAATCCCAGTAGCCCAAGTGATGTAATTGATCCAATTTACACTTCAGAAAGTTCAAATGATTCATGGGAATTGGATTTGCCTTTGTTCAAGAAAAGCAAAGTTCAAGAACAGCAAATGAAAATGGCAAGCAGAGTTTTTGTGGAAGCTGTTGGTAGTCCTCATTAAAATCTCTCTTCTATGTTGGGTAGTACTAAATATTTTATTCATATTCAACAAGTATTTTCCTTTTATGTCATTTTTTTTTTCTTCAAAATTTACATGAAAAAAAAGGAGAGAAGAAATGTGTTAGCTAGCTGGTTGTTGGCAGAGAAGAGGACTGGCTTTCTTTTTTGCAGCTACTACTGGAAAGCCAGAGAGAGAAAAGACAGAATATGTGCACTCTTTGTTTTTCTCTCTATTTATTTCAATTTCTCTCTCAAGTCACTTTCCTGCATGCATACTTTTGATGAACTACTCTATTTATATTGCCGCCTTTACTACTTACTATATAAAATCATAAATTCATCAACATTTTCTTTATTTCCTCTTATCTACACCTTCCATACCCAATTTTATATGATTTAGTTTGACCTACTTAACGATCTTAAATAAATTATAATATATATTTGTGTGGCTATAAATTATTAAACGGAAATAAGTGTTACTTGTTGTGATTGATTAAAAAAGCAAAGTGTCGTAGACTTAAAAAGAGGCAGTAATATATAGTCTATAAATTATAAAATTTAAAACCTCATCTTTTTAGAATGCCAAAATATGGAACTAAAACTTATAATTATTGAATTTGTCCATGTCTTTTGGAATATGTAAACTAGTCGATGTATAATCGTTAAACTCACACGAAACAAATTTGGTTATAGTATATGTGGATGGTAACGACCTTTAAACTATGTTGACAATTCAAATAGTTACTTTCTCAGTCAACGGTAATTGTCACTTTATGAAATTAATAGATAATTTTATATTTAATTTCTAATTTATCTTTATCATTAATTATAATCAATTTTCTATTATATTTTTTATAGTCAAAGGGTGATATAGTAAATTACCCTTCTATTTATTGATTCTTAAAAAGTGTACCAAAGTTAATAATGAACAAGTATTTGTTCGACAGAGAGAAGAGAGTTTAATAGATTAACACTTTTTTTCCCATGTAATAGTAACAAGAGAAATGAGAATATTCAGTGACGAAAATGATTTGTGCAAAACTCAAACTCAAATTTAGTATAATTTATACTAAAATTAATAGTAATATTCAGTAACAAAGCATAGCAATGATATTCCACAGAATTAAACTCTTAATATGTCTTATATCTTTGGCCTATTATTTTTTATTTTTTATTTAGAAGAGGTGTAAAGTTGTGCTTCACTAAAGACGATTGTAAGGTAAATAAACTTCTATTGCTTAGATGATCTTCAAATAAAATACTCTATGTGTTATAAGTAATTAATTTGAGACAAAAGAAAAGAAAAAATATGTCAAATGTGAGATAATAATTTCAATTGATTACTTAGTACGTTAAACCCAAGATTTTAAATGGCAAAAAGGCCTAGGAAGAAATCATTTTAAAGATGAAGTGCTCATTTTCAAAGGAGTAAATCCAAGGAGACCACATATTTAAGCCCAAAGTAAGAGTATAATAGGGTGAATTTCTTTTGTTTTCTTTTCACATTTGGTATCCATTTTAGATTCCAATTTTAATATGATTTATATTTGTTTTAAGTCTCAAATAACACAAATTTTATGTTTAAAAATTTCGTCTAAAAAATAATGCAGTTGGTTTTAAATATGACTTTGAAATTCAAAAGTCTCAATTAAGAATGAAGAAATAATTATCACGACATCATAATCGATGTATATTATAGAGTTTGTTTGGATGTAATGGGAGACAAGGGTTTTTGTCGGACATTGGGGTTTTTACTTTTCTTATTTTTGTAGAAGTAGAATACTCAATAATGTGTGTATGTCTTATTCAAACGGAGACCTTTTGGGGATTTTATTTGTAGTTGTTGTTTTGACTTTGACCTTATTTTACATACTATTTGCATCTTGACCCCACAATCTCTCTTTCTTTGGTTTTTTGGGTCTCCAAATTTTCTTCTCTCTCTAGTTTTGTGTATTTCTTTATCTCAAAACAATATATCTCTCTCTTCACATTAGTTTATTTATCATATTTTCACTTAACATAAAATTTAAAAAGATTTTTAAATTTTGGATTGTAATTTTCAAGTATATCAAAATGTTCTTTAATCATTTGATTCTAAATATGCAAGATAAAAAAAAATATAATTAAAAAATTATCAAAAAAAGAAAGATGTGTCAACGGACTAAAAATAAATCAAAAATAGGGAATACAACATTTTAAAAAAGAATATAACATAAATTAATTTGCTGGTTTTGGTTGTAGTTTTACACAGAGTTTAAAAATGATAAATAAATCTTTTAAATTTTTGTGCTCATAAAATAAAAATATGTAGAATATATTAAAATATTTTTTAAATTTTGTGTCTTGAATATGACTCTTAAATATCACTTGAAAAAAATTCATAGACAGTGATATTTCCATTATTCATATTAATTGTAAATAGAGTATAATTTTGTTCTTTCTAAAAAAGGGAGATTCCACTCGTTAACTTTTTGTTTATTTCAAGGAAAAAGAGAAAGTAGAGCAAACAAAAGGTTACTGACTTAGAAAAAAAATAAAGAAAGAAAAAAGGAAATTAGTGAAAACAAAGGTCACCCTTTTTACTGTCTGCTCCTAATAATCTTATGCTACAATTTTTAACGTATTAAGAAAATAAATCTCAAAATCATTTTTTAATATTTGAGATTATCCATCAATTAATATGTATGTTATGATAAAATATTCAAATTAATCATTATTTTCTTAATAGAAATACAAAGTCCAAAGCAAAAAACTAAAAAAGTAAAAGTGAAATGATCAGGAGTAGAAATTTCTTTAATAAAAGAGTGTAACTGAAAATAATTATTATTTTTGTGTTCAATTTTTAAAGTCACACTTGTTTTAAGATAAATATTTTATTTTATTTTAGCTAAAGTAACACTTATTTTTAAAAAAAGTACTACTAACTAATTTCTAACATAAGGTATCTTTCTAATTAATTTCACCTCTGATCAAATTTTTACTAACTTGTAGAAATAAATCTTGCGTATAAGAGAAATGAAAATATTGTTCTTAGCAGTAAAAGTGAAAAAAGGAAAATCAAGAAAAATTTAGCCAATTTAGTGAAATATTATAAATTGCAATAAATTTCTCATTGTTTCAAAAAGATTATGTCATTGTCATCTCACACTTGCGTGCTGGACAAAATCATCACTTGCCATCAAGTAATTTCCCCCCTTCAGTTTCATTTTGGTAAAACAAAATTTATCGTTTGACAATATTTTTTCGAAATTTATCAAATTTTGCATGTCATATGTCAAACATTTTTTTCGAAATTTAGCAAATTTTGCATGTCATAACATAGCAACATGCACAAACAAAATATATTAGTATAAAATACGTGTTGCCTCAGATATTTTTTTCATTCTTAAAGTTTGAATTATGAGTTTTTTTTTTGTTAAAAGTGGATAATTTTTATTTATCTCATTTAATCTAACTTTGATCTAGAATACCCCAATGACAAATCTGAAAATGTTTTTAACTAAAACTATATCAATCATCTTTTTTATTAAATTGGCTTATTAAAAACTATCAACTGTTTGTTTTTTCTTTTACTCCTTTCGTTCTAGATTAGTTGTCACATTACACTTTCTTTCAGAAATTATAAATAAAAAGTTTTTTATATATATAAAAATGAATTTATCCTCAACTCTTTTTAATGTAATCAATATTGTTTTCTCAAACGATTAATTGTAAGGACAAAATAGAAAAAGTCAACTAATTCTATTTTTGATTTTGTTAATCAATAAGTAAGTTGATAGCATAAACATTTTAAATAAAGTTCACAACTAATACAGAACAGAACGAGGAAGTACTTGTTAAATATTATGCACATTAATTAACAACAATAGTAACTTTAGCAATTGCATAAGTGCTAAGTGGCTTGAATAATCATCATCAATTATTAAATAGAACACGTTCAACAACTTTGCTTTTTTTTTAGTATATACTTTTGTGTATCTTATTGAATTTTCCCGATGGCTATCAACGCTCAAACTAATTAGTTCAATTGTCCACGTACAATATTGTAGAAAATTTATCTCCTTATTCAAATTAAAATTTAAAAATAGGCATTTTGTTACAATATTTCAAACAAGTGAAGGACATAAAAAGTTAAGTGACTCACATTTATTTGATAGATTAAATTACGTGTCAATCTCATTTAGATGAGTATCCTACCTATTCTTTTTGGTTCGATCTCAAAAGTCAAAAACATTCTAGTTTTTGCAATTTATATAGTGAAGTAAGTAAATAATGATTGAAGAAGAGTGAGGTAATTATTGTGACCTAACTGTGAAAGTTTAAACGTATTATATTTAGTAAGCGTTTGAATATATCAATATCATCAGAAATTGTGGCAGAGTGTGAAACTTTTGACATAAAAAATTATAAGTTTGAATAAAAAATTACAAGTTTGAAAAATACTCCAACTTTGACCAAAATTGCTATTTAAAATGATGCAATATTTATGATTTCCACGTAGGCACATATATACCTTTAAAATACACTATTAAATAGTACAAGGGGGTAAAAGGTCCTTTCCAAAGTTTGATATCGTAACAACAATTTCGGTCAAAATTGGAGTATTTTTCAGACCCTTTTCCCTTTTAATTGTCATAGATAATGTTGATAATAATGTTACAATAAAAAGAGACGATGACCACAGTAATATACTCACTGTAATTTCACGTATGAAATACAAATCAAAAGGTTGTTACGTGAAACTTAATTAGGGCCCGTTTGGCCATGTGATATGGTAGCATGATATGATATCATAATATGGAATTATGAGATGAAATTGAAGTTTTGTTTGAACATGCGTTATGAAATTTTGATGTTGTATATTTTCTCATAAACATAAGAATCTCATAAGTTGTAAAACTATTAAAATAGCCCCAATTGTTTATCCAATCTTACCAAATAAACAAAAATTTATAAAATCGCATAATATATTATTACATTGTTATTTGTTCTCTACTTAAG